CGGAAGGTCTACGCTACCTGAAGGCCAGACTGGGAGACACCACCAAACGACCCCAGATGGGCACACCGCGTGGTGAGTCAGTGGGGATTCGGGGTCACCGCAAGATTTTGGAACTCGGGTGGGACGCAGAGGGACATTCTAGTGTTGTGCGCCCTCCTCGGCGGCGCACGTCCGAACCGAACGTATAGCACAAACGTGTCATGGTACATCGTTAAGAAAGCGCCCACCACCGAGCATATACAACAAGATTTCTGAGCGCGCGAGTCGCACTTAGGGGGCCGACGTGCAGCTCGCCTCCGAGCCATCTCTGGCAACACACAAGATGCGGACCCACGTGCACCGAAAGCAAGCCGCGGCCGCAGTGGCTGTAGAAGCGACGGTGTGTCCCACAGGGCCGACTCCGGAAACCCTGATTCCAAACAGGTTGACGTCTGACTTTGACATTGATTTTTGATGTTCATGTAGCAGTCTTTACTCGGGGAGGCGGGTAACGGTAAAGCTTGGGCGGGGTGTAGCACGTCGGGGCGGGGATGCGCTGTGATCGCAATAGTGCGCGCGCGAAGACCAGCATGTGGGGGGAGTCAGCTCCCCATGAAGCCCCCCCCAACTAAAATACGATCGGTATAGTTACCCGGGGTGGGCCTGGGGGGGTTGAACCAGCTAACGACTGTTACGCGCCAGAAGAATAGAATTGTACATGTGCTTGATTTCTAACGAACATACACAACACATATAAACACACAAAAAAAACAGGCGAAGGGCCCACCATATGCAGTTGTGAATAACGCAATTGTGAATATTGTCGTCGGTGGAGCTCCCTACGGGGCCACAAAACGTGTGAGGGGTGTGCCGAACTGGGTGGCGGGGACGCATGCGGGCGGCACCATCTGGGCCTAGGGTGGAGCTACCTGCGGCCACGAAACATGCGAGGGGTGTGCCGAAACGGGTGGCGGGGACGCATGCAGGCGGCACCATTTGGGCCTTGGGTGGAGCTCCCTATGGGGCCACGAAACGTGTGATGGGTGTGCCGACATGGGTGGTGGGGTCGCGTGCGGGCGGCACCAGTTCGGCATTGGGTGGGGCTCCCTACGGGGCCCCGATGCTTGTGAGGAGTGTGCCTAAATGGATGGCAGGACGCACGCGAGCGACACCATGTGGGCCTTGGGTGGAGCTCCCTATGGGGCAACGAAAAGTGTGCGGGGTGTGACGACATGGGTATCGGGTACGCA